GCAGGAATATTGGGTCGTTGGCTGAACCCTGCACTGAGGACATGGAGCCGTTCATGAAAACATGTAAGGCATTGTGCATGGTGCTCTGGCCTGGCACTGCCATACCGTTCACTGGACTGGCAAAACCTGCAGAAGAGAGGAAGAGTCGAAACCCGTGTCAGAAATGACGGGGGAAAATGAAGAGTTTTTTAACTGTGTAGAAGAAATGTATTCTTTCTAATTACTTTTTAAATGAAAATAAAATAAAACTTGACTGGATTAGTAGTTATAAATTAGCATAAACTAAAGTAAACAATAATGTTTCACTGTTTTCCAAATGGGAGGTCATGACCCATGAAGTCGGTCCTGGAGTCGTGCCCCCCCCGCTTGGGGACAGAAATGTTTTCACGCCCCCTTCCCCCGCCCCGCCAATCCATACCCGTGCGAATTTAAACACTATTGAGAATCTGATAACATGTAAATATTTATCTGTAAAAACCACTGTATGAGTTGCTGCCACCTAGTGACTGGAGGATCATTATCATTCAAGCATTACTTGCGAAGTATTTGAGAAGTACTGAGTTCGATGAACATGTGACTGAATCGTTTACACTTCAATCATTACATAGACAACTGCAAGTCAAAAGTGATTTGGAACTTGATATATTTATGCTGTTGATCATTTGATCATTAACCATATATTACGGTCTTTAAGTCATTGAGTACTACTGAATTATTTTGCTTGAGTAAAACTGTGTACTCCGTGAAGACTCTTTGTGTTCCTCTCCTACCCTCTAGGACATTCCTGAAGCTCATGTTGGTGAACCGGTCCATGGGTCCAGTCTCGTAGTCAGGCAGGCCCACGGTGAAGTCAACATCAGCTGATGTTGGGAGTCGGGCCACGCGGTTTGGATCATGGTTGCCTGGGTTACGCAACAGCGGACCCTCCCCGGTGGCGTTACACAAGACTTCCCGATTGTTGTACTCCGTATGATGAGTGCAGATGACCTACACATACACATACACACACACACACACAGACCCACAACTATATGAGAATTCGGTTTATCTTTATATATGACGCTGTTGTATTTGATTGGTTGGATGTAAAGCATAAAACAACAGACAGTTCTGGAGAAAAAAATACGACATTAAAGCCAAAATTGCCGTATATATTTTTTTAACCAATGAATTGGAAAGGGACACACAGCCTGGAAATATCAGATTTTCTGTAATCAGACAGTTAAATTCCAAACATTCTAAAAAAGTGGTGTCAAATATACGACCCGCAGGCCAAAAGTGGCTCACTAGGGGTTTCAATCCGGTCCGCTCAACTGAAAAAATGCAGAAACGCTTCATGTTCGTGATGTTTTGTCAAATGATATTTCATTAAATATGAACATTTTCTAATATACTTGTACTTATTTGCAGGAAAACAAAGGGGGGAAAAACACTGACTTATTGTTATTTATAGGTAATTACGTTGATGATTGTACTGGTCCGACCATCTGATCAAACTGTATATGTGACCCCTGAACCAAAATGAGATTGACATCCCTGTTCTAAATACTGGTTAAATGGAACTGGAAATGAGAACAGACTTCAGTCTTACCTTCCACGAGGAGAATACAGAGGCAGGACTGATGAGATTAGGGTTGAGGGGGCTACGTTCCCCCATTAGCGCATCAGTGCACACCTGACAGGACTGGGCGTCTCTCCAGTCCCAGTACGGGATGGTGAAGTTGAAATCACCCGTCAGCTTCCTTATCTCATTCTCCCAGTGAAGCAGGTAGACTCTGTGCCAC